ATCCCTTTAATGATGGATTTGTTTCTTACAAACATGCAGCTTTTCACTTCACAAGACATTAATTGATGGACTGGAATCGTGTGGATTAGTGGCAGATTATTGTGAATGTCATGTCTGTTTTGGTTCATTGTCATGTCACGTGGTTATGTGTTCTGGTTGTTCATTGGTTGTAATAGTTCCCATTCACTATAGAAGACCCATTGGTGAGCAAGAGATGTAATGCTAAATTCCTCCAAATCTGCTCAGATGAACAAACAAACTCATCTACATCTTGGATGGCCTGAGGGTGAGTACATTTTCAGCAAATTTTCATTTTTGGGTGAACTATTCTTTTAATTGTTGCATTTTGTGACAATAGTTTGGCTGTTTTCATAGTGTTGCTTTTCCATTAACAATTTACTTTTCTTTTCTTTTCTTTTTTGCAAAGAGTATCTGTTTAGCATGAAAAAAAATGTTAGATGGTTCATGTAAATAAACCTGTTCACATAAACTGATTCACTGAAGCCCCTGCAGAGAACCACTGAATTTTATCACAGTTTTTTTACTGGGTTAAAATGTAGTTTTCTGGTTAAAATAAATAAATTTAGTGTACATATATCCCAATTAAATCTATCTATCTATCTATCTGTCTGTCTGTCTGTCTGTCTGCCTGTCTGTCTGCCTGTCTGTCTGTCTATCTATCTGTCTGTCTGTCTGTCTGTCTGTCTGTCTGTCTGTGTCTGTGTCTGTCTGCCTGCCTGTCTGCCTGTCTGTCTGTCTGTCTGCCTGCCTGTCTGTCTGTCTGTCTGTCTGTCTATATAAAGAGCTTCAAAGAAGTTGCTTTTATTAGTAGCTTAGTGTAGCAGACTACTTTCCAGTTTATCAAAATGTGTGGGAAACTTCAGTTTAGCATCCGAACAGTCTCTGGTGTATTTCAAAAAAAGGTAATTTGTTACTGTCACACAAATGGGGAAAAATAACCATTTAAAATCAGCATGTGAGGTATATCGGTCATACTCGCACTAAATCAGATTAACAGTGTCAAACCTCTAATGTGTCTGCATAGCACATATCAAGCTAGGAATGACCCTCTTCCATCAGCCCGTGTTTGACA